CTGAGAAAAAGAGCAAGTGGAAGATTGGGAAGAACATATACTCGGCTTCTCGGTTTAAATCTCTGACGAGGCAGTACTTTGCTTCATTGTATCTTCAACGACGTGTGTGAGCTTCGAGGATCGGCCAACCTAGGGCAAACCGAGGCCCCAACGAGGAGCTTGGCACCGGAAAGTGTTCTGGGGTGGGTCTGTCTGTCTGAGTCTGTCCCAAGAGCGCGTGTGAAGAGCGATAGGCTTGTGCTGCACAACTGCCGAAGTCTTGCATAGCTCAGCATAGATGTTAGATACGGTGTTGCGAAGCGACGGTGCAGCTAACAGCGTGCTGCATCGAGGTAGTCAAGAGAAAAAAGCTAGAAGTTTCACATTTTCGATCAAGTCACTCGTCCTCGTTATGACACGCTTGGATGCAACTAATTTATTCATGGCACACGTGAATGATAGTATACCTCAGGTTTCCGTCTTTGGTATAGTTCGTTCGGGTACTGCGTGAATCAGTCTTGATTGGACGTGACGGTCGGGGTTGTGATAGGACAGCGGAGTGTCGCGCCGAACTTCCCGTCCGAGGATCGCGCCTAAGAAATTGTACTCAAAATTATAGAAATTTTCAATTAGTTTCTTGATTTTACTGAAGAGTGCTTTACTTCTTGTGATACAAGATACTGCCGAAGTGCAACTCCGTACAGGGCTTGAACCGTCGGGGCTGCAGAACCTGCGACAGCCGCGTGCCTGCAGCGTAGCCTCTCCATTAAATCTAACAGATTTGGATAAGTCTTCATCTCATACGTGCTGTTTGCTGGCGCAGCATGGAGAATACCCAGATAGCGACTTGAGGGCAACGGCGAAAACTGACTTGTCGGTGCAACCCCCTGATTGACGTCTGCGACATCCCGTCAACTGGCAATTGACGGCACAACAAAGGCGCAAATTCTTGAAGGCGTTGCTGTTACTGCATAGACACAAACTCTGTAGCCCTCGGCTGCTCCTATCCATCGACTGATTGGGGCCATGGAGCCAGCCACCAGCAGCGGCGCCAGCTACATCTCACCGCAAGACGCCGGACAAAATAGTAATTTTAAAAGAGATGATTGGAGGGAAATGGTTGTGGCGGAGTTGCGCAGGCGGTACAAGCAGGAGGTAAGTACGTGCCTCTCGTCGCATTGCGGTAGAGAAACGCGAACATGGCGCCTGACCCCTCCCGCCCACTCCCGCAGACCTCTCACAGCGCCGATGCGACAGTCAGAGTCCAAGCATTATCAGGGCTGGAAGCGACCTCGGCTGCGCCCCAGGTGCGGGACAGCGGCACGAACCATGGATGCCATCTCGACGACTGGGCATGGTCAGTCGCGAAGTCCACGGCAAGTCGAGTCATGAAGCTGCCAAAAAAACTGTTCAATCCAAAAAACTTTACCTACTGTTGTACAGTCGCAAAGAACACCTCGTCTACGTGCGAGACGCGGCAGGTAGCGCTGGGTTGGGTTTCTGTCCGCGGTTGGGTTATGGATGTCCCCGATATCCTGAATATTCACCCCGCGTCGGCGCCTCAGTTCACCAGTAGGACCCCCCCGGACTCTTTCCTGACCGCGTGTCCTGTGACCGTCCCGTGCGGTACGGTGCGGTGGGGTGGGATGCTTCAATGTGTTCCCGCCAAATGGTCTCCACCGCAAGCACGCGTGCACCACCTCCAGTGCTGACGGCGAGACGGCTGCTCCCGACGCGACCTGTGTGGGTTACATACATACACATCCACACACGCAGCGGGGCCCCGCAGTTCTACCGCCGGCGCCGGCATTGGCACAACCCGGGAACTCCACGTTGTCCATGACCTTGTCCACCTGCCTCCACCCGCCTTTGCCAGGCTTCCCACCCACACGCGGTATAATGAGTATAGTGCCCCAAATCGGTTCCCCTGCCCCGCATACGCCTTTGCCGTGCTCCGTTCCCCTTGTCGTCGTCGTCGTCGTCGTCCGCCGCCGCCGTCCCCGCCGCCGCCGCTGCTGCTGCTCCCACCGCTGCTATCTCGGTTCGTAGCGCATGGATAGCTCCATGTGCTCCACTGCCTCGACTGCCATGCAGCCCGCTCAGCCCCGTCCTGCCGGCCACAACGGGACGCTCAGCAAGGCAGACTTCGCGTGGGTCCGGATCATCGGAGCGGGCTCGTTTGGGCGCGTGTCCTTAGCTCGGCACTTTAGGACGAACCGTGTGGTGGCCATAAAGACGCTTAGTAAAGTGGCGGTTATACGGGAAAATCAGGTACGTGTATGGCATGCGTACATGGCATAAGTGGTGCGTAACATTGTCAAGTGAATGCCTTCACGCCGTGGCCGTGGTCGCTGTCGTCCACCATCTTCCTTATCCTCTTTCTCTTCTAGCTTTCGTGCGTGCCATGTAAGCGTGTCCAAAATACGCCACGACGGTGTATCCACACATCGGCCCCGCGCGCCCAGTCGAGGACCAGCAAGCCAAGGGAAAACCACCAAATTAGTTATGAGCTACTTATTAACGTCTATAAAAGATAGGCTTTTATTACAACTGGTAAATCAACGTCTCAGAAGACGATATATTTCAAATATTGTAACTGATGACTAATGTCTCGAAAGCGGCAAAACTTAATTTATTCTCTTTGAGGCATAAAAGGTACTGTAGGCTGCAACGTGGTCTCTATGTACGTACTTCATTCCACGTCTCAGTGTAGGTTGAAACATGGCAACGAAGCTCGGTTGGATCGCCGTACACTTGGGATTTTGTTGTGGTATCCGAGGTTGCGTGGAGGGTTGCGTGAACCTAGACGTAATGGTTCGAGTAGTGTGGGAGGAGGTTGTGGAATTAGAAGAGAATGGAGGTACGTTTGCAGCTACGGCGGGTTATTAAGGTTAGAGCTTGTGCGACTCTTAGGACGTGCGGGGTTTAAACCCTCCATGGATTCCCGGTGGGGCCTATGCCCCGTACACTCCTCCTTTTCAGTATCGGATTTGCCTCTGTGGCCCCTCGCCAGCAATGGATTGCGCAGAGGTTATTGAACGATGTATGACATTCATTTTGGTGTATGTATATGAATGTGAATGTGTATGCAAACTGTACGGCAGGTTCAACACGTGTTGGACGAGCGAGCGATGCTGATCATGGTTTCCGGGCACCCCTTCATCATCAACTTGCTAGCAACCTTCCAGGTACGGCTTCGTCCTCATTTTGCCGTGCGCACGATTGCGATCTTAGTGCGCACAACCAACTTCTCCTTTCTTTATCATAGTTATGATGAATCATAATAGTGCTCGCCCCACCCAACCACCCAACCACCCATCCAACCACCCCACGCAACCAACCAACCAACCAACCACACAGGACCGGGACAATCTTTACCTGGTAATGGACTACGTCCCCGGCGGCGAGTTCTTCGCGCACATGCGGGACCACGGGAGGGTGCCTGAGGAGCACGCGCGCTTCTACGTGGCGCAGATTGTGTTGGCATTGGAATTCTTGCACAGCAAGGGAATTGTATACCGGGACCTCAAGGTACGGCAGAGTGTACGGCATGGTACGGCAAGACACATAGTACGGCACAACAGCACGGGCGATGGCGCCTTGCAGCGGGAATATATCTACCTGAGCTGGGAAGGGGGGAGCGGGTAATGCAGTCCCCCGACCAATATAAAGGGGGCCGCTGGTGAAGCTATACCACCCTGTAACAACATACATACTTTCTTCCAATCACCCATCATCACTTAAAGCAGATTGTTATGTTTGTTTCTTAGTTTTTGCTTTTAGATTCGGTTATTTTTGTTTTTTATTTCTTGTATTAATCCTTTTCGTTTTTATTATTTTTTTATTTTTTGTTGTCCTTTTCTGTTATTGTTGTGAATGGCTCCTGTGTGCATTTAACCTGCGTGCCAGGAGGGTGCATAGCTAAGCGAGTTATCCTCAAGGCCTTCGTTCCTGTGAGCACGTTCCGAATACTCTCTCTCCTCCCGGGGGCCGCTCGGTTCGCCTTTTCGTTCTACTTGTATTATCATATGTAGGGTTTCGCCTACCCAAATCCAAAATCCCCCCTACTGTCCGGCCCCCCCTCCCTCCGCCGCACTGCTGCAGCCGGAGAACCTGCTCATTGGAGCCGACGGATACATCCGGCTGACCGACCTGGGGTTTGCGAAGATGGTCCGCAGCCGTACATACACCATGTGCGGCACACCCGACTACCTCGCACCCGAAGTCATCACTGGCAAGGTACGGCGCGACGGGGCAGCGCCCACCATTATCCGTACGACGTCGTACGACATCGTCTACGTAGTACTAGCATCGTACAACACGACAGCGCAGAAAAGCGGGGCCCCGCATTAAGGGATTTGTACCACTACTACTACTACTACTACTACTACTACTACTACTACTACTACTACTACTACTACTACTACTACTACTACTACTACTACTACTACTACTACTACTACTACTACTACTACTACTACAATATGGGCAATCTCAGCGCGAACCTGCCGTACCACGCGCTGCCGCTCGCCGTAGTGTGCTGCTGCTTCTAAAACCCTCACACGCATTAAACATGCCGAGTCAGCGGCAGCACCTTGTCTGCCGTACATGTGTCCTGGAACTTGCATGCTCACGTGCAGATCCACCCACTGGTTAAAATCCCTCCTCCCCGGTTTTTCCGCCTCTATTTCCCCCCCCCCCATTCCGCCCCCCTTCCCCCCCCCCAACCCCCG